ATCAGGTGGAATGTGATGTGGTTTAAGGCCGCTTTGTAAAACAGTGCATAAATGTACAAAAAATTTAATTATAAGCAAAAACTTGAAAGTTTTCCACATCAAAAAAGGATGGCATTATAAATCCCTTGTAGAATTTAATTTATCCAACATCCTATGTGGATTGACAACCAAGAATAGCCATTACACTATTCTTTATTATTGTGATGGCTAACTTTGTTTGAGACGGCCACTATTGGCCTACCCAAATCACAGCCTATAAGCCACTCTAATAAATCCTCTTTACATATACACTTATACACATACATATGTACATACGTACATATCCATTCTATCCACCTGTTCCTGTAGAGAACACCGACTAACGAAATTTTCTCATACTGCTTCTTTAAAAGAAAGGTATGAATCTCTCTTGTCCCTTATACCTTATGGTCTTCGTATTATGTTTGACTAAACAAAACAGAGGTTAAAAGGCAGTGTGTTGAAAATATCCTACTTTATTAATGTAATATCAGATGGTCCTGGGTTTTATAAATAAGAATACAACCATGCAAATCAGATATAAGACACCTTTTCATTTACCAGATACATAATGTACAATTGATATGTGAGAACTGCAAAGTGCCACAGAAGGCAATAAGAAATAGGTCCTGGCTTTACTCACTTTTTAAAATTAAAGGCCTTTATGTAAGTCAGCCATCAGGCAGGTCCCCTGCCCCTGCTGACCAGTACAGGCAACGTATTTGTAGGAATCCCAACCTTTGGTGCTTATATCACACAAGGTGGTTCCATTTCCAGGCTGCCCCAGTCCTTGCCTACCAGCTTCCAGAGGCACACTCTTCACCAAACCACAGTCCACAGGAAGCAAAGCCATGATTCCACTCCCCAGCCCTGGGACTGACGGTGAAGATAAGGGCCAGCTGCTGCGCGTCTCTGTGCCAGGGAACCGGAGGCTCTGGGAGAACCCAGCATCCAGCACGTTGCTGGAGACTCACAGGATCCTCCACCCTCATTCTTCTTTCCCCTGGTGGGACCAGGGTCCCTAACATTCTTTCTCTCACCCTCTCTGAAAAAGCCCTCTCATCCCGTCACTGTGGACCTCCATAGCCATGGCAAAGCCATGGCTTTTTGTCTAGCCAAGTCCCATTTTTCCTTAAGGGGCTCTGTTCTGGCATCACTTTTTTTAAAGTTTGTTTGTTTTGTTCTTTGGTTTCTTGAAGCCAGGGTCTTATATAACCTAGGCTGACCTCAGACACACTGTGTAGACAAGAATGAACTTCTGATCCTTCTGCTTCCAACCCTCCAGTGCTGGGATCACAGGTATGCACCACCATGGGGAACAGAGCCAGGCTCCATGCAAGCTGCGCTGAGCTACACCACCAGCCCCAAATATCACTTTCTTCTTTTTTCTTTTTTATTTTTTTGAGACAGGGTATCTCTGTGTAGCTTTGGAGCCTGTCCTGGAACTCAATCTGTAGACCAGGCTGGTCTTGAACTGACAGAGATCTGCCTGCCTCTGCCTCCCAAGTGCTGGAATTAAAGGTGCAGCATCATATATCACTTTCTTAAAGGTGCCTTTTCTGACCCTTCAAACAGTATACAGTCTTGCCCCCAGGTGCCTCAGTCACTGCTCACTACCTGCTTCTCACCACTCATCACACTTAAATTATTGGGTCAAGGTTTCTTTTTCAGACTGTGATGTGGCGTTAACTCTTACCCTGCTCTAGCACCAGGACTTAACATTGCAATTGGCCTAAGAGAGATGTTAAACCAATATTCATGGACTAAAAGGAAAAGGAAAGGAATGAGCTTCTGTCAGACTTCTGGACATTCTCTTCGGGTAGAACACAAGGGTCACATGATGCTGGCCATCGTTCCACTAAAGTCCAAGATACCAGGCTTTCTGTGGCTAGCCTGGCCCTCACCACCTTCTCTCACTATTTCTGTCTACAGTAAGTGTGCTCGGAGTCCAGGTGTAAGCTGACCTTTTGTCACATGACTATGGCATTACTCCTGCAGGCTTGCTCAGAGCTTTAGGAGGAGGTGTCCAACATGATGGAGGAGGAGCTGTGACGTGATGCCGTCACCTATAAATATAATGGACTATATTCCTAACTATCCCGGGGCACATGTAACCCAAGGGCCACAGGTTGGGCAGACCTACCAGAACATCAGAAGCCCTTTTATTCCAGTTGTAAACTGGTCCCTAGACAGGTCTGTGTGGTCCTTATCCTGTGTTAGCATGAATCTACTTCGTGTTCACACCTAACCTTACACAGGGTGCTGGAACCCAGGGGAAGGGCTCTTGTTTTCTGCTCCCAGAAGGATTCCTAACCCATTCTGCTTATGAGCTTTAGTGAGTTTCCAGAAGGTGCCCCTGCTCTGTGTCATCGTCGCCCCCAACCACACGGATGAACGTCTGGATGCCCTTTACGTGGACTCAGTGTACAATGGGAAAGTAAGAAGAAAGCAATTGTGTCTCAGGTTTAACTTTCTAAAGTTAATCTTGACTACGTCTTATCTTATACCCTTCTGTGTTCTACGATAAGCCTAGACTCAAAAGTAACGCCCATGTCACTGGAGTCAAGAGGCTTTGAGGCAGAGAAGGGCATGGAGGAAGAGCTTAGGGCATGCTGCCCATTGTTGATATTGAAGTCCTGAGGGCAAGTGAGAAGATTCTGCAGTGAACAAGATCCTCACGGTGCCAAGTGAAGCAAGCCCGACTTCCTTCCTTCCTTCCTTCCTTCTTTAGGCCTTTGAGTAAGTCTAGGTAGCCGAAACTACTGAAGGGCCCCTTAGGCTTCTTCAATACCACATCCTAGGGCCTGGCTCTAAGGACCTGGCTCCTTCAGTGTTCTTCTAGCCCCTGGCCAGTGGCCCAGGCCTGAAGACACGGTTTATTGGATGATTCCTGCATTGTTGAACTTCACCAGGAGTCCTTAGGGATCTGGAAGGCCTGGCTGCAGGTTCAGAAAAGCCTCAGAGATGTACAAAGCAACTGCAGCTAATCTGAGGTGGCAGCCTCCTCACCTCCACTGTGTGGCCCCAGGCTTCTGTTCACAGGGTGGAGCTGCCTGGTGCCTCAGGAGAGCAGCTCTTCATACAGACTCAGGTCTGCAGTGGGCAAGAGAGAGGTGAGCCATCACTGGGAAGATGGCAGGGGGAAGGGAGAATCGGATGAGCCCAGGTCACATAAGAGATGGTGTCTTCACTGTCTGGTCATTTGGCAACTTCCTCCAGTCCTGCCTTGGTAATCAGTAAGGCATGGGTCCTCTACAGCTTCACATCTGGAGTCAGCACCCCACACGGCCTATGTGTCTACTTAGACATCTGACCTCAGGAGATGATTCAGTTTCCCTCCTGTGTGTGTGTGTGTGTGTGTGTGTGTGTGTGTGTGTGTGTGTGTGTTATACGTGTGCGCTGGTTCATGCTCCTGTGAATGTGGATGGTATGAGGAGGCCAGAGTTAACACTGGCTGTTTTCTCTATTGTTCTCTATTTTTTTTTTTTTTTTTAAGACAAGGTCTCTCAGTGAACCTGGAGCTCAGCAATCCAGCTAGCCTGGCTTACTAGCGAGCCTCCTGTCTCCTCCTTAGCGCTGGAATTTTAGCACGCACTACCACCCCTGGGCTTTTCGTTTGGTTTTGCTGTTGTTGTTGTGGGTGCCGGGGATATGAAACAGGTCCTCATGCTTGCACAGAAAACACTATCTGCTGGGCCAGCTTCCCAACCCCGTTTTTTTTTTAAGACAAAGGGCCTTACTGTACAGCCCAGATTGGCCTAGAAATGATTACATAGCCTTGAACTCATAGCAACTGTCCTGTCTCTAGCCAAATGCTAGGATTACATAATAAACCACCATGCCATATTTCCCTGCATGATTTATATGAGAATTTAGAAATTTAGACTCTTCATGCACCCATCATACAGCCAATAACTGAATTCCCTGTTTATGCTGGGATGTTTTTGAGCACAACTGATTCCACAGTGAACATCATGCATTAATTCCTATTGCACACATGGAAGATGGCTTCAGAGACGTAATAAAGCAGAGGACAGTGGCTGGAGTTTTCCACGGGGCTGTCGAGGAAGGGGCAACCTGAAGGAAGATTAAGTGAGGAGATAAGGGACTGGACGCATTGAGAAAATGCTGGCGTGAGACAGAGATGCGACATGTCGTTACCATGGCAACAGCTGTCCAACTACTCAGGTACTTCATAGTTGCTCAAGAAAACAGCTTATAAAAGAGTCAGCAGAGACGATTCTACCACAAGGTCTACACGGCTAAGATTTGTGGAGCACAGTGCTAGGTACAGAACCTTACTCAAAGAAAACAGTGCTGGTTGTAAACAAGATTCTCTTTAAAATCCCAACTGTTTTTAGTTTTCAAAAGTTACTATCAAACTTACAGGTGGCTAGTTCTAGTTAACCTCTTTTCCAAAAGTTTGTAAAACTACATAAAAAGACGCCTGGGAATACAGCTCAGTTGGAAGGTGCCTACTAAGCATATGGGAAGTACTGGGTGGAGTGTCCCCTGGGTGGAGTGCCCCACCACCACCACGGCAGAGACAAAGAGCAAATGCATAGATAGTTAACACAAAGTAACTCAGTGTGTTATTAAACCCAGTTCAAAAAATATTAATAAGATAGACAAAGTGACACGCATCTGTAATCCCGACATGGGACACTGTATTTTAATTACCAAGTTCCTGGATGGTTACTTAGAATTTCTTCTTAATAAAAATATGACTCCTGGAGAGTGGGGAAACAGCTCGGCAGCTAAGAGTGCTGATGCTCCTACAAAGGCCCGGAGTTTTGTACCCAGCACACACATTGGGCAGCTCACAAACACCTGTAACTCTAGCTCCAGGGGATCTGACACACTCTTCTGGCTTCTGCGGGCACCAGCACTCGAGTGCACATACCCACACACAGACATGGACAAATACACGTAAATAAACTATAGACATCTCAGTAAGCACTGTGACTGCTGTGACTACTCACTCGATGGAAACGATGACGGCGTTCAGCTCCTCCGCCAGTGTTGCGCACAGCTGGTCGTAGTAGCTGATTTCTAAGAGAAAAGAAAAATCACTCCAAAAGTGGCCGCTCCAGGTTGTCCACACTTACATATCTCTCAGTACAGACTGTTTGTAGACTAAGATAAAAATAGCAGCAAACACTGAAAAATGCACGTGCGCCAGGTATCTGAGAGGTAGAGGCAGGAGGATCAGGAGTTCAAGGCTAGCATGGAGATTACCCAGGGTTACATGAGACGATGTCAAAAAACCAAAAGAGAAGAAGGGAGAAGGGGAAGGAAGGAAGGGAGGGAGGAAGGAGGGAGGAGGAGGGAAGGAAGGAGGGAGGAAGAAGGAGGGAAGGGACTGAGAGAGGAAGGAGGGAGGGAGGAGGGAAGAAGGAGGAGGGAAGGGAGGAAGGAGGAGAGAAGGGAGGAGGAAAGAAATAGAATTAGAAACTGAGGGAAAGAAAGAATGAAAGGTAAGCATTCAAATGCAAAATTTAAATCTATTTTCTGATAAATGTAATTACTATAACGAAATCGGTATAAGGTTAGTTTCAAATATGTTTTTAACTTATTAAGCATTTATTTTCAAACAGGCTATATGAAATACACCACATGGATTCTGATTTTGAAGCTCTTCAAATACACCCTTTCACAGCAATCACAGCAAATTAGCAGTTTCCTTCTTTGAATTACAAGATTTTGCACTTTTAACATCCTCATTTGCTGTGATTCAGGAAAACCAGCAACGTGAAGAATAAGGTAGTCTCTTTAAGCCAACACAAAAGAAGTGGAATTTTAGGTGGTTTTAGCATTTCCAAGAAAGGGGACTCAAATGTCCTCAGGAGCAAAAGTAATTTAAACGGGTAAGAATTGATTCCTTTGTTGTTCTTTCAGTATTTTAAATCCCATCAGACAGGGATGTAGCTCAGTTGGTAGAGCACTTCCCTAGCACACATGAAGCCTTGGTTTGACCCTGCCACCCCCCACCCCCCCCCACACACACATACCTGGGGGAGGAGGCACACACCTGTACTCCCTGCACTTAGAGGTGAAGGCAGGAGAGGTGGAAGTTTAAGGTCATTCTGGGCCACATAGGGAACCTAGCCTAGAGTACACGAGACCCTGTCTCAAAAAAACAAGTAAACAACAAAAAAGACTTACTGTCTCAGCAGAGCACCTAATACTCCCTTCCTTGTGGACTTCCTTCCTGAGAACCAGAAGGCTAAGGAGAACATGCCCACCTGTACACTCACCAGCCCCCAGCTCCCCCTTTGGTACACCAGCCGAAATCAAGGAGCAATGGCCAGACTGACTCTTACGACCACAGCTTCTGCCATCCATGCCTCCTGTCTCGGACATGACGTCCCCTGACCAGTGCCCATCGCCACAGACTCCCTCTTTCTAAGGCAGACACCCTATTTTACTCACTTTTGGATCTTGGTCTCTAGTACACACAAGAGTGACTGTAACAGTTAACAATGGCTGTCAGCGTGGCAGGGTGTAGACCTCTGAGCATGTCTGCAACAAACATCTAGACTTTTTAACTGGGGAAGGAAGCCCCATCCTGCCTGTGGTGGCATTATTCCACGGGCCCGGCTCCTGGACTGAAAGAAACGACTAACTGTTGATGCAATGGAACAGTCCACCTCACAGGCCTGCCCAGGGCCTTCCTGTCTCGATGGACTGTGCCTCAGAACGCGGGCTGTAACAAGTCCTTCCTTCTTTCCTTAAGTTACTTCTTGTTCGGTGTTTTGTCATAGCAACGAAAAAGGAACCGATCCAGTGACCCACGGTCCAGGGCCGCTCGACTGTGAGTATCTGCATAAAAGTCACAGTATTGGACAAACTCACACACTCAGTGAGCATGTGCTGAGATCGGGAACAAACCAGTGAGGAACAGAACAAACGGTGGAGCTGTGAGACAAAGTTGTACATTCTCATGTTTTCTGCAATAAAAACTGATACAATAATATAATAAAGGAAGAGGCCAAGTTTGAACTGCTTTTCCTCCTATTTTGTTAAAATTACACTTTCATTTGCGTGTGTCTGTGTGTGGGGTGCACATGTGCCATGATGCCGTGTAGAGGTCAGAGGACAATCTCTGGAGGTCAGTTCTCTCTCTTCACCATGGGGGTCCCACGGATGGAACTCCGTCGCCAGGCTTGGTGGCCAGCATTTGTGTCTGCTGGGCCATCTCACCAGCCTATCACTCCTTTTCAGCACAGAGAATTCCCAAAGCCCTGGCCTGAGGATGAGGAAGGAGGTCACCAGAGGCAGAAGCCCTGATCTTCCAAGACAGGCTGTGCTAGGCAGCCTTCTTCCAGCCTGCTCTGTTCATGAGAGATGTCCATCTCCATAGGAAATACCCCTGCACTTGGAAATGCTGTTTTCTTTTAGTGGTTGCATACTTTTGGCATTTTAATCTTTGGTTTCATAAGCTGATGTTGATGAATTAATGTGTATTAAGCAGCATCTGCTCTATTTCATTAAAAAAAAAGCCTTCAAAATAAAGTTAATAAGAGTTACAGATAATTACCTCATATTCTGGCCCAATGAAAGTTTACCTTATTTTGACACAGAAAGCTAGTATCAATGGATCACAATATGTCTATGATTTAGGTCACAGAATTTTTATTTATTTTTGGAGACAGGGTCTCTAGCCTAGGCTGACCTCAAACTTACTATACAACCAAGGAAGAACCAGATTCTCCTGCCTCTGACCCCTTAGTACTGAGATTACAATTGTGTGATAGCACATCAGGTTTATGTATGCTGAGGACCAAATTAAACGCTTCTGGGATTCAAACCAAGGAGTTCGCGCATGCCAGACAACACTCTGCACCTGAGCTACCGGGCTAGCTCAGGAAATATTCACAAAGCAACCTGCAGGCACTAAAAAGTAAAGCAAGGGCTGGGGCTGTAGCTCAGCGGTGGACCATCGTCTCACACCACGAGACACTACTTTCAATCCCCAGTACTGCACACAGGAAGGGCGGGAGGGAGAGAAGAAGGGCGGGACCGAGGGAGGCAGAAGAAAAAAGACAGGCGCAAAGACAGGAAGGAGAAGGGGAGGGACCAATAAGCAAAACCTTTCTACACCATAACCCTATAAATGAAAGAGGCGCTGCTGACGTGGCCAGAGCGACAGGGGAAACCAGGATGGTCCAGGAGAACAGTCCCATTCTTAAACAGTGGTCTCTCCGCTCCGGAGCCAAGCGCCCGACCCACCTGGAGGGGACAGGCACTTACTTGCACTCGCCAGGGCCCAGCCTCCTCCGTGGATATAGACCACGCTTCGCCGCAGCTGCTCGTCGGGTTTTGGAGAGCCTTCAAACACTCTGACTTCCACCCCATCAAAGTCAGTGTCGGTCACCTTCACTTTGGGGGAAGACCTTGCGCTTTTCTTCCCAAAAGAAACGATGATGAAATTGAGCGCGACCAGGTGGTGGCTCAGCCCCAGGGAGTGGATCAGGTTACTCTGCAGGTTGTGGGGAAGAAGAGGGATGCTGTTAACTGTCGCACCGGACTGACGCCCGCCTGCGGGGATACTCACCAACTCCACATTTGGGGTTGGATTTTTTTGTTTTGAGAGCTAATGAGAGGCAGGAATGGGGAGCAAGAGGGAGAACAATCTCACTACGTGGCCCTGGAGGCCTGAAACTTGCTATGGTAGACCAGGTAGATCTGCCTGCTTTTACCACCTGATTAAAGGCGTGCGCCACCAACCCGGGCCACTTCGCTGCTTTGATTTACCCCTTATGCCAGGCTAAGTGACTGGCAACCGTTCCTACAAACAACTGCTCCTGGACTGGAGAGGTCACTGAACACTGAGAACACGACAGCAAATTGTATTCACCTTTGGGTCTTAGAGCTAACAGCATTTTCTCTCTTTCCCTCCCCCACCCCTCTCCTGTCTCCTCCCCATACCCTCCCCCACACCCTCTCCTGTCTCCCCCCACACCCTTTCCTGTCTTCCCCCATACCTCCCCCACATCCTCTCCTGTCTCCCCCCCATAGCCACCCCCACACCCTCTTCTGTTTTAAAGGTAGTGTTTACATAGAGCCTATGCATATGTTCCCAGATTTTATCATTTATTTTAGCCGTGCTGGGGATCAAAACCAGGGCCTTGAGAATGCTAGACAAGTGCTCTACCACCAAGCCACAGCCACAGTCCTGACAGCACATTTTCAGTCCTTTTTAAAACTCTTTTTTGGACCCAAAGTCCTGCCCGACCTTCAGACCTGGGTTGCCACCACGATAAACAAATATGTGATGGAGAAGGTGGGAAAGAGAAAAAATGGAGCAGTGTGTCTGCTAGGGAGAGAGGCAGACCTGGAGACGGGTGAGAGAGAGGGCCGGTGGACATGCTGTCACTGACTAGGGGGTCAGCACGATGGTGTACAATAGCCTGGAGCTTATGCAGATGCAGACTGGGCCACATGGAGTTGCTGGCTAGCCTGAGCTATATGGTCAAACCTTGTCTCAAACAAACAAAAAGACATAGAAAGTACAGTTAGAGAAGAGCCCAAATCACCCACCAGCAATGACCTTTGGGGTTACTCTTCTCTTTCCACTTCTACAAGATCCTTAGCAAAGGGGGTTGGAGAGATGGCTCAATCATGAAGACCAGAGTTCAAACCCCAGAACTCACTTTAACAAGCCAGGCATAGTATAAATTCCCATAACCCTCATTCTGAGTGATCAGATGCCCTCTTCTGGAATGCACCTTCCCCATACTCTCCTCCCCGCAACATGCACACATACACACACAGAAACACAAATAAATAAATAGAAGACTTTTGGCAAAGGGCACGGCTGGGCAGTACTGTGCTTTATTGCAGACCATAAAGCCAGGATCTGACAAGAGCGATAAGCAAGTCACCATTGCCACGGTAGCCACACTTGCCCCTCCGCCTCTGGACACCAGGCTCCTGAGTCACTGAGCCCAGGGAAGTGTCTTTACAGATGAGATGGTTTATTTGACAAGCAAACTCCCTCTGGAGTGTGTGCTGAGTCACAATCACTTGACTCAGTTTACCCAGTCTGCCCAGGAAATGCTGGAAAGCATTGCATCATAAATCCCCCAGTGGTATTCATGAGAAATAAGAGCAGGCGGTGACTGAGCTAACAATAAACAGCATTTTAGGAATATCCATTTTCTATAAGCAACAGGGAAATGAATATTGATAAGATAATTCAATTTCTATACTTGCTCTGACATTTTGTCTGGAAATCTGTCCAATTTACTGACAACTTAAAGTAACTGTTACTATCCATCATATTAAATAAATGGAAGGCCAGCAAGGTAGTTATGGTGCTTGCTGAAATCCTGACAATCCGAGTTCAATTCCTGGAACCCACATGAAAAGGAGGAACTGATTCCTGCAAGCTGCCCTTTGACCCCCCACGTGCCTGTCATAGCACATGTGCGCACAAATAAATAAATAAATAAGGAAATCAATATTTGAGCATGGAGGGAGTGGTGTGTGTGTGCAAAATCCTAAATTTAAATTCTTTGGCAAATTAGAAAATGGCATTTGACTTGCACAGTGAAAACTGCCGGTCTGGCCAGGTCCACTGACACTGTATTCACGGAGACTAGAGTGAGCACAACACGCTCCTCCCCCACGTGACTCAGTTTCCCCAGGCCTTTTGGAACACTTCTGCCTCTTACTTTGCATTCACTCCATTAGCTGAGTTTCTGAAAGGCGGACAGTGTCCTTTGTTTACAACGCAGCTGGGGCTAGGGGGTGGGGTGGCTCTGAGCAGAGACTGAAGGAAAAGAGGAAAGAGGGGGAAAGTAGGTGGTAGAGAAGGAACCCGGAAAGCTTCTAAAGAACTGTGATGTTTGGAATTACTGACAACTAGAAAAGAAAAAAAGTAGTTACCCTAACACCAGGTGTGAGAGTGCCAGCCTGGCGGGTAGAGCGGGCTCCTGAAGGGGTTCAAAGTCACGCTCAGCTACACAGTGAGGTCAAGATCAGTCTGGGATATATAAGTTCCTGCCTCAACAAAATAATCAGCTATCCTGTAGTCCGTGAAAACTGGGTCTGGGGATGTAGCTCAGTTAGGGTAGTGTTTGCCTATCATGTGCAAGGCCCTGGGTTCAATCCTCAGCACCATATAAACCAGGTGTGGAGGTGCCCATCTGTAATCCAGTAGTGATGGATGGAGGGAGGAGTCTCACAGCTCAAGGTCATCCTTGGCTAAGTAGTAGGCTTGAGGCTAGCCTGTGCTATTTGCGATCCTAAGTCAAAATGTGTCTCCCTCTCCAGGTCTGACGGCCAAAGAGCAAACGACAGGATACAATCAGAAACGGTACTCTGCTTGTTAGTATGTAAATTGCTTTGGTTTTTAACTGGACCAATCTCTGGTGGTCAATTTAATGTAGAATTATGGACAATTCTATGATATGGAGAGCTTTGAGGGAAGGAAAAGGCAGTCTTCTGAAACTAAAAATAATAGAGGAAGCCGGGCAGTGGTGGCGCACAGCTTTAATCACAGCACTTGGGAGGCACAGACAGGTGGATCTCTGAGTTCAAGGCCTGCTGTGGGATGGTCTGTATGTCAAATGTGTTGCTGATTGGTCAATGAATAAATCACTGATTGGCAGTGGCCAGGCAGGAAGTATAGGCGGGACTAACAGAGGAAAATTGAGAGAACAGGAAGCTGGAGGGGGAGACACTGCCAGCCGCCATCAGGACAAGGAAGATGTAAAGTACCGGTAAGCCACAAGCCACGTGGCAAGGTATAGATTAATAGAAATGGATTAATTTAAGCTGTAAGAACAGTTAGCAAGAAGCCTGCCACGGCCATACAGTTTGTAACCAATATAAGTCTCTGTGTTTACTTGATCGGGTTTGAGCGGCTTGGGACTGGCGGGTGAGAGAGATTTGTCCTGACTGTGGGCCAGGCAGGAAAACTCCAGCTACAAATGGCGTCCAACGTGGTGGCAAGAGTTTCCACCTAAAACCTGAGAAAAAAGATTCTAAAACGGAGCTAAAAACAGTTCCTAATTGTCTCTCTCAAATGAGCGGCAGCTGCCGGTTTGAGCTACTGGCGGGTTGCTGGCGTGCGCGCTCGACCTGCAGTATGGCGGGAATGAAGTCTCTGCAAATGGCACATTAAGCTGCATTGTGGATTTAGCCTTTGCTAGTACAAAACAAAAAAAGAGGTTTCTGAGCTACATGCTGCTTGGATAAAAGCATAGACCCACGATAGCTCCCAGAGCTGGCGGAAAACTACAGTACTACCGCCGCCATGTTGGGAAGCTGAGGTGGGCGGAGCCAGCAGCCACAGCTGCTACAGCTTAAAGCAACAGATTCATAATAAGACAGATTCAGATGTAATAGTTTAAAATGTGTGTAAAATATACATAGGCTTAAAAGAGACAAAAAAAAGGTGATATATACAGTATAGAAACAAATACATGGTTTTAAAAAAAATAAAGTCTTTAAAGAGACAGTAAAATTAATATAAAAAATAAGCCACGTAGAGATGACTATTACACAGAGAGTCTGGATTGTGTTGTCTTTGGGATTCTTAACTACAGAGAGATGTTTGATTGTAAAGGAAGCTGAGTTAAACCAGTACGTATATTTTAAAGATACTTTGACTTCAAAATTTGGATGTAAGGATATGTTGCTTTGGAAAAGAGTCTCTTTTGTTTCCACAGAAAGCAAGAGGCTATGGATTTGTTCCAGATTAAGACACATCAGGTTTGACCAGCCAAGACCACCTGAAAGGTCTCCGATGACACCATGGCCCAGATGATCCAACATCCAGAACCGTTTCAAGGCAACTGGCTCAGACGATACAGCCTCACGGACTACTCCATGATCCTAAAATTTTCTTTGTTTCCCCAGAAGAAACAGCGCCCCCCTCCAGCAGGAAGTAGTAAGAGAAGCTACGCCCAAATTCCCAAATATACCAAGCTGACTTTGGAGATGTGTAAAGGTTAAAACCTTCCTTTTTAAGAAAAGAAAAGGGGAGGTGCTGTGGGATGGTCTGTATGTCAAATGTGTTGCTGATTGGTCAATGAATAAATCACTGATTGGCAGTGGCCAGGCAGGAAGTATAGGCGGGACTAACAGAGGAAAATTGAGAGAACAGGAAGCTGGAGGGGGAGACACTGCCAGCCGCCATCAGGACAAGGAAGATGTAAAGTACCGGTAAGCCACAAGCCACGTGGCAAGGTATAGATTAATAGAAATGGATTAATTTAAGCTGTAAGAACAGTTAGCAAGAAGCCTGCCACGGCCATACAGTTTGTAACCAATATAAGTCTCTGTGTTTACTTGATCGGGTTTGAGCGGCTTGGGACTGGCGGGTGAGAGAGATTTGTCCTGACTGTGGGCCAGGCAGGAAAACTCCAGCTACAAAGGCCAGCCTGGTTTACAGAGTGAGTTCCAGGACAGACAGTCAAGGTTAAACAGAGAAACCCTGTCTGAAAAACAAAACAAAACAAAAAACAAACG